CTAAGGCGGGGGGGGGGGGGGGGGGATTTTTTAAAAAAAATTACCCCCCCCCCCCCCCCCCTCTTGTAATGTGTTTGGCCTGTACAGCCAGCATGTTCCATTTTTTTTAATTCTTTATTTTTAGGCGCCATCCAACATGGTCATATATATAAACAATCTGAATGGGTCAAATAGATCTCGATTCCTTTTAACTCATGGATACGATCCTATCAGTCTCAATTATTCAGGATAAATAAGTAGTTCAATTAATTAATGTAAATTACATGTCAAAAACAATGCACTTAAAAGACACCACCTCGTGTGTTCATAGGCAGGGTATGTGATATGGTTTTGTATGGCCAAGAAACACAAATACACGCCAAAGAAGACAAGTCAAACTTTAGGTAAACTAATGGCTCATCACACATCAAGGACACCTCCTCGTGCTAAACATAGTTTTCAAACCTGACCCGTATACTAACTCGGACAATGCTGCGGATCAACGAGTCAGTGGTTCAACCGACGGGTCAAACATTGTCAAATATATTATTAATTATTTTCATTGGATAATAAAATTTTGATATTTTCTATCAATAACTAAATTAACTTCATGTAATTTTGTTAACTAAAGATCAACATGTAGCCAAAACTTCACAAATTTTAGATGAAATGTACATTTGAAACGATAAAAACAACAATCAATGATAAAAAAGGGCCACCCGCACTACCCTTGAAAACTATCTGCATAGGTATACATATCAAAAATACATTCCCATTCTCTATACATTTACTCAATTAAAACTCTTCTGTATTCACATTCCTGATCAGAAACATTTTCACACTTTTATTTCATGGAAATCTATTCTTTCCCATAATTCCAAGAAGACTACTCATCAAACTTATGTTTTTTAATTCAAGACCCAGACCCCAACAGCATGTTAATCACTAAAAAAGTCTGTTCTTTAATTCGAATTTAGGGTAATTGTCTTACACAATGAATAGGTCTAAAAGGTGAAAAAGGTACCCAAAAAAATTCAGATTTACTTGTTCTTCTTCCATCTCTTAAAACTTGAATTGGAAATTTTGGATTTTTTGGTGTGTTTGAATTGCAAGGAGGCTGGGGGACAGCGGCAAAGGATTTTGATTTTGCAACAATCCTTGAATTCTGAGGAAACTGGAAAGGTAGGAGGAGAAATCAGTATTTTAAACAAATAACGAGACCTGATCAGTTCAACAAAAATGGGTCAGCAAGTTAACTTAAAAATCGGCTGTTCAATGGGATGTTTGTCCACCAATGACCATTAGTCTTTGTCCGTGCAATGCAGTTGAGTTATTTCGAAAGAAACGCTAGTGTGTTAAATATGTTGAGTTATCATGAATTACATGCTCAAGCAAATTTTATGACAAGATTCCAGGTTTATGCATGTTATTAAATTTATGAAAGTCTGATTGACTTATGGAAATCGTGTTCTCGATTAGCAAATGTATCCAAATAATTCATTAGACAAGAACTTTACCACTAAATCACTATTATTTAAACCATAGCATGCAAATAAAATGACAACGTGCTCGTTTATTGTTTAAAAAAACAGAAATAATTGTACACAGCACTATAGTTTCACTTGGGAATATGGCTTTTATCTATCATCAATACATTCCCCTGTTTAATTATTTATGACTAAAATGAGCTTTAAAATGTTTATTGCCTTTAGCTTAACAACAACAATTGAATAAAAGAATAAAAGGTAAATGAAAATTACACTATTTCAGGAACCAAAAAAAAAAAAAAATTAGATCTCCGTAAAGGAAATACCTAAATTTCAGAAAGAGAAGTATAAATTTTCACTGAAATAAGACATAAACACAAAGTTTCACAAGAAATTATATATCAATTTACAAACATATGGATATAATTAGAAATTTCAAACATACTATAACACAACAAAAAAGGTTGTAGTTTCTAAAGGAACAAACCACTCCAGTCATGACCGTAATAAAAATTAAGAATGGAAATACCTTATGGTCAAATATCAGCAACAAACATCAAGAGAATAGTCACTGAAAGGGATGTCAGCGAGTCAAGTTGAGAAAACTCGAAGCTCGAACTCGACTCAAGTAAAAATGTTTGGGCTTTTTTTGGCCTCAGGAGAGCCGAGTTTTTGCTTGGCAAAAAAATCCAGGCTCGAGCTTTATCGAGCAAAGCTGGCTCGCTTTTCTTTAAAAAAAATTTGAAATACAAGTCAAAGCAACTACTGTTGCCTTGTTAAGGCAGCTATCTTTTCATTCAATATAACTTTTTTCTAAATTCTCGACTTATTACGGACCGGTTTCAAGCTTCAACTCGGTTTTTTTGAGCCACGAGTAGGGTCAACTCCGACTTTTCCTAAGTTGAGCCATGGGCCGCACGAGTTGACGAGCCAAATTTACACCCCTAATCATTGATGGTGGAAAAGGCATGTGCTTCATGAATGTTCAACCCAACTTTAGCCAGTAAAAAAGTCAGTGGCAAGGTTCAATTAAATAGTTCTAATAGATATTGACAAGCAAAATATGTGTTACATGTTGACACACTGGGCCAACCTACTGGGGCCTATGGTCCACTCATGCCGAACCACGCGATACTCCAGTCGAGGTGGTATGTATGACCGAGGCCCATATACCGACACCCTTGTGAAGGTCGCCGAGGCCATGATGCGAGAACACTATGAAAAGGTAGCCGAAGCCCTAAAGCGGAAGTGTTATGTAAGCAGCCGAAGCCCTAAAGCCGAAGCAGAAGCCTCCGAACCATAAAGGAGCATCTTCCATGATCACTTCTCCCAAGAGATCTTCTACAAAAGGATCTTGTTTGAATGATTGATGGGACGTTTGTCAGAAATGTAAATATTAAGTCTTGTCACTAGTATAGGGGTTCTGCATAAGCAATAAATGTGCAGCAAGCTAGGAAGTCAAGAATGATGCCTAGGATTAGATGTTTGAGTTAAGGAGATGAGGCCACGTGCCTCCTCATCCAAGGGCCATCATTTCACATGTATTGCTATAAATACTTCCCTTGTGTAACATTAAAGGGCAAATGCAAGAATCAATACAAGGAACAACACTTTACTCAACTCTCTCTTATTATCTTGCAACACAATACGAGTTTACACATTTTTACATACACATTTACAAATATCGATTGGGAAACCAAGTACCATCCATCGTCTTCACCCATGAGGACTCTGAAGGAGTTCACTACCCCCATTGTGATGCACTTGTGGTAAGGGCTGTTTAGCCCGAAATGGACTCAGGCGAATGCTAGTAGATAATGGAAGCTCCGTTAAAATCCTATTTGGGTCCACCTTTGACAAGATGATCCTGGACCACGAGCTGACGCCCACCACCACTCCTCTATATGGATTTATCAGAGATAGTATCACTCTGATAGGAAAAATAACATTGGCGGTAGAGATGGGAAAGTCCCCCCAAACCACCATGAACTTCATGAAATTCCTTATTGTAGACAGTCGATTGGCCTACCATGGAGTCTTGGGTAGACCAACCTTGAAGGAGTTGGAAGCCGTCACTTCCATCCACTATTTATGCATGCAACTCCCAA